TGGCCATCCAGTGGCCTTCAGTGTGAGCGTGTCTGTGACTGCAGCAGGATTGATGGGGTGACCAGAACTTTGTGTTAGTTAGGAAACCTGTCTGTGTATGGCTTTGGGACGTGGAACTGGGGAATGGGCTCTGGTAAGGAGCTGAGGAATCCCCCTGTTTAGAGAACAGCAGTGCTGCCCTGGTCTTGAGAAGACACTGTTGCTGTTCCCTGGTAACATGCTGCTGATGCAGAAGAGCAAGCTGATGTCTCAGGTCTAACTGGGTCAGTGGGTCCTGCTTTAAGTGAATTTTAAAAGGAGTTAGAAGGCAGTGTAGGAAAAAATAAGTGAACTGTTCTGGTTATATGAGGCAAAGGATGCTGTTTAAGAAAGCAGTTAAAGCAAAGATGTAAGCTATTTGATGGCAGACCTTTCAGTAGCTCTGCAGTGCTGCTTTGGCACCTGCACACCAACAGAAACGTCCAGCAGAGTGTGGGCCTGGGCTGCTGCAACATTGTCCCAAGCTCAGCGTGCCCCAGTCATACTGTTGAATGTCCAAGGACACAATTTCCCTTGGAAAGGGGAAAAAAAATATAACCTTTAGATGGTCTGCTGTGGCTTTGTTCGCTTCTCAAGGACTGTTTCATATTTATTTGTAGAATGTTAAAGGTTATCTCTAAATATTTTATAAAAGCTTTATAAATACCACAAGTAGAGAAAAAGTGATGTGGAGAATGGGCAATAGCTCTCAGCCGGTTTGTATGACACAGGCAGCCTGTAGCAAAACTGCAGTACCATGCTCCCTAGGAACGTGGAAGCCTGCAGACAAAGCACAGAACTAGCAGTGTCACTTCAATGAATACCTGCAGTTTTTCTCACCAAGATTTGTTTCACCTACCAAAGTGATTCTCCTTCCCAGAATGAAAACCATTCACTCTAAACTCTGACTTGCCATTTTGTCTTCTGTACTTTCTCACCCCATGCAATTTTGTCTTTCTATTAGAAAACACCACCAATGTTTCCATTCAAGGTTTACTAAAACTGTGATTTACAAATTATGGTGAAAATACCTAAGCCAGCTTTGCCTCCTTTCCTGTACACACCTGGGAACAAGCTTTGTTCTCCAGATCATAGCAGACAGGCCTGGCATAGCCATAGTGTGTCCTTTTCTTTTCCAGTTTAGTAGGGGCATTGCTCTAATAAAAAATACTAGTCTCCCTTGCCAGAACTTCTTTGCAAAATGCAGCTAATTATTTAGGACTGTGTAACTGTTCCAAATTATTTTAAGCTTTCTTTAACAAGAGTTGCTTGGCCAAAGGTTGTAAGAGGCTCAGAAAATATTTCTAACCTCTGGCTTTGACATAGTCCTCTCAGTTCTAAAACAGTACAATGGACAAAGAGTCTGCCAGAGGGATGAACTTGTCCAAGACTTGAGAGCTGCTTAAGAAAGGCTCTGGTCTGGATCAGAATTTTATGCTTTCTTATGCTGCTCTAAACCATTTGGTGGTTTGAACATACAGAGCTAATGTCAGCTGTGTGCTGCTGTGATTTCAGTTTCCCAAGGAAGGGGGGGTGGGGGGTGTGTGTGTTCCATTGTACTGCTATGTGTTCTGCCTTTTAGAGGAACTAAAAGAAACCCAAAAAAAACCAAAACCAAAAATACACACACAAAATCAAAACAAAAAACCAACCAAACAAAAACCTACAAAACAAACAAACAAACAACCAAACCCCACAAGAGCATGTGGGGGGGTTCTATGTGGCTTGGTTTTAATTTCAAACATTTTCAACAATGAATCATTTTGAATTTTCACACAAATTGTGGTTTTTGTTTTCCAATTCTTGCTTAAATGTTCAAAATTCAGTATCTGGGTTGTTTACAATTGCTTCAGTTCAGATTAGTTATAAATATATTGTATATACATAGCAATAGGAAAGCAGAAATATGTACTAGAGCCATATTGTTCATTATTGCTCTTTAGTGAGAGTTTAGTTATAAAAGTCACAATAAAAAATGTCTGTTGTACACAACTCAGAATTGAACATATGTAGGAAGAAGCATATTAGAGACAGCTGTGATTAGTTCTCCAGTTTTCTAATATTGAATGCATGAAGTATTTACTGTCTTGGCAAATGAAGAGATGGGGAATGGTCATGAATCAGCAGGGGAGAACCGGTGAGCAGTCATTTTCATGTTACCTGCCTTCTAAGAAGGTTCCTTCACAAGCAGCAGGGAGTTTAATGTGCTCTATGAAAGATGAAGAAGCCATGTTCTGGAGAAGGCAGATGGGGCAGGGTTTGGTTCAAGGAGCTGATGGGTAGACAGCGATGCCAGTGGTCTGCGGGAGCGATTCAGCTCAAGTGGTTTGTGGGGGCTGTTAGAACACCTCACTGAACCATTACAAACAGGCCTCTTCAGGTGATTGGCCAACTGCAGTAAAGGTGTCTCGAATGCATTGGCTGCTCAACTCTTGTTACTGTTTGTCATCTGTCTTTATGTGCTACTAGCAAGGGATTACCTTGAGGAGACCTCTGAACATCTCTTCAGCACTCTTCACTGTCAATAACGAATGCCTGCTGTTACTTATGGGAAGGGATGTGAAGCAGTGCTTGTCTTCTTTTGGTTGCTGAAATAGTTTAAAAAAAATGGAAATGCCAGTAACTATGGGAAGTTGTGCTGTGTTCACTTCTGTGTCCATATGGTAGAATGTGGTATGTCCTTCACAGCACAATGAAACGTGTTTGTGTGCAATTCCAGTTGGTGTGGCATTCCCACTCATGTCTATTGAAGACATCTACTACAGGCCCTTAATGTTGATGAACCAGACTATGCCAATAAAGTTCTATTAGCTTCCCACCATTAATTTAATAGTACAGGCATTTAACAGATGTCTTAATTGGATGTTACACTGAAGGCTAGGAGCAAAATTAAAATTAGGTCATTGTCCTGAAAGGAAAGTTTCTACTGTGATTTATGCTTTCTACCACTTTGTTTTTCCTTCTGACCTCTCACAGGAAATCAAGGGATGTAATTTCAGAGAATCCTGACAGGAGTAATGGGTATTGGGTAGAATAACAACTTGTCTCTGGCAACTTAACACATCTTTCTTGTACTTCTCAGGTATAACTTAATTGAAAAAAGCTTCTACTCTTTGGCACTCTCAAGTGTTTATCCATATTTTCAAAAGCTTTCCCACTGTTTTTCTCTTCGTTTCCCATTGGTGTGAAATGACTGACACATCTCTAGCAAAACCACTGTCTGTTTTCCCCACCTCCACAGGAGTGCTGCTTATAATGGCAACAGAGATTTATTTCCCTACCAACTACTTCATCTCCTGACTTGGAAGGGGGCAGAGGAGCAGTCTGTTCTTCTTGAAAACCAATACTGTGAATGCTGTGATTTTAGCTGATCCGAGTTTGGTTTCATGATGCTGAATCTGGTTTGTCTCTGGGATCGTGCCAGGGAGATGCAAATCCCCTGTAACCTCTCCCAGCAACAGATGCAGAAAGGAAGTAGGAGCTCTGGAGGACAACTGAATGAAGGCTGGTAGTCAGCCAGTGTTTCCATAGGACTGGGGAGGGTTAGAGGTCATGATCGTCTTTGGCTTAGAGCTCTAGCCAGAGCTGTCCTCCCAAGCCCAGCACCAGGCTGTGTGTGCACAGTTTGGAACAGCTGTGCTCTCTTTAAAGAGGTGACCCTGGTTGGCTGCAAATGCTTGAACAATGGCAGGGAAAAACTCTTCTTCCTAGATACAGGTCTTTGATTTGATTCTGAATTTGACTTTGTCATTTAAATATTACAAAAGCTTCTGACAGCTACCTTTATAACATAAACACCATAGAGGCTCTTTCATAACAGAAAATGTTAAGTGATCTAAATACAATGGTTACTTTTGTCTCCCAAACAAGCCAAACCTGCCTAGTCAATGAGAGATTGTGATTGGGGCAATCAAAGGATCCTGGAAGTAGAGAGAAAAAGGGGCTGAGGATACATGAAGCACATGCACTTAAAGCTGACCAAGTCTCCACTGGTACAAGTACATGGTCTCCATTACAACCACTGTTGCAGACTGCTGCAAAAAGCAAATATTTATAAAAGGTTTAAACACCTGAAGCTTCTTTACAAGTGGTGATGTATTAAGGGTGGTTGGTGAGTTTAGAAGACTCAGGTATGTACTATACCTGACTGTGTTCCAGTGAGTTGTGCTCATAAACAAGTGTTAGGAATTGTGCCATCCATGCCAGCATTTAAAAAAAAAATTTATGTAACTTGCATGTTTTAATAGGAATAAAGGTATTTTTTAAAAGTATAACACAGACATCCTGTCTAAACCTATATAAAAATAGGGTGGAGTAAAGCTCTGTGCACAGAAGCTAAGAATTCATAAAGCAATTTTCTGGGTAACTGAAGTACAAGATCAAATGGGGTTCACTTCCATCTTTGAACTTCTAGCTTCATGTGCTTCTGTCTGTGATGTGTTGTGTGCCCTGCACTCTGGCATGACAATATATATTTACTAATACAGACATATCTGCTTTAACCTTAAAGTAGTGTGCTACTGGTAAACAAACAGCTTGCAGGGCTGCATTAGGTGTGTAGTATGTCTGTATTTTCACTTACACACGTTGTCTGTAGCAGTATCAACCACAAGGAAGGAGACAGTCAAGGTAAAACCTGTCAGCTGAAACAACTTACATTGCATATAATTGTACCAGACAAAGCTGTCCTCTGTCAGGAGCAATGATTATAAAAGAGCTTTTGTCACCACTTACAGTCTCACTGTAAGCACATAACCAGCAGATAGTGTAATTTGTACAGGAGGCAATGATAACATTCAGCACAGAGTTACAAGAAACAGCTTCATTGTGCAAGTTTTGAAACAGAAGTCAGGTAATCACTACTAATCATGTAAGCTTAATAAAAGCCAGAATGTTATATATTTAAAAAAAAAAAACAAAACCAAAAACAACCAACAACAACAACAAAAAAAAAAAACCACACAGAACAAAATCCCGTAATCTGAGACTGCTTTAAAAACAACAGCTACTAGTCATTCTTCAGTAAGAAGAAACACTTAAGAAATATTTCACATAGCTAATCCATTTCCAGTCTGCCAGAAAACCTGGTCTGCAGGAAAACAGCACACATTTCTAGTAATACTTCTGAACTGCCATGAAATCATAGGTCAATAGTTCCTTTCAACTTGAATTTTTTTGCAGATCTCTCACTTGCTCTAAGCTGGAACTTGCTCCCATAGATGTAGGAAACGAACCCATCGATCTCCAAGCTAAACACGTTGTTAAGTTTTGGAACAACTGAAAATGCAAAAGGAATGAAATTAACAAAAGTGCACTAATGTAAGTCCCTGTTATGACAATATATTGATGTACCAGGGGATACTATTCACGTGTAGACTTCAGGTTTGCCCCATTTCAAGGTTTCTGTGCTTTGGCAAAAGAAGAAAAACAACCAAACCCTCTTAAATTTTTAAGCAGAATTACTGAAGCATGTTCTTTCAGGAGTATGCACTAAGTGTTGCAGAGAACATCTACTGTGAATCAGATGTTTATGCACATGGCTTATTCATCTTGGGCTCATTGGAAGTGTTGAGGTTTTTAATTGCTCATTTCTGATGAGATACTTTTTTGGTAAGATATCAGACTCTTACGTGATCAGTAAAGACACTGACTTCTGCCATGGTGCAAACAGCTAAAAGCACTGGTATGAAACAATGTAAATGAACAGTGTGTTAAAGAATTTTGATTGTTCTAGTTGTGAAAAGCACTGAAAAAAATTCACATGTACCTTTTAATTTGTCCTCCTTTGTGATAATTTTGAAGACATGTTTAAATTCCTGTAGAATGATTCCTGTTATCCCAACGTAAGAGGGGCACTTTGATTTTGTGACTGAAAGAACAGAAGTATGTATGTGTTAGAAAACTTCAGATGCAGGAAGTTTATTTGCTCTTCGACTCAAGTTTTTAAAAACTGGTTTGCGATATTCAAAAATAATGTGATGACAGTAATCACTGGTAAAACTTGCAGTTAATCTCTGCAGCTAATAAGATGATTTTCAAAAAACAGTTGAAAAGTAATGAGCATTGGTAAGTAAAGAAAGAATCCATCAAGATATGATCTCAATTATCTGATTCTAGATTTAATGATACTGAAAGGAATTTAAAAATAAGCCCTTGAAACAGGAGTGTACAGTCTATTTCAGTTGATTTCATAAAAGTAAACAAACAGAATACCTGTAACAATAGCTCCATGGAGATCAGCTTTCAGCAGCTTGCCCTGAACCATCTGTGGTTGCCTTGAAGAGGGTAAGATCAAATGAGGAGGAAAGAAAATTACATAGAAACTATTGAAATCGTGGTCAAAGCTTACAGAAACAGTAGGTATCCTTATCAATGATGATACAAGCAGTAACTCAGAAAACCCAGAAATAGCTATTAAATCAAAACCATGCTGATTTTATAAAACATCTCAGCTTACGTATCTGGTTTAAGTCCATGACACAGGTCTCTGATATACTGTTTCCAGAGTTCATGTAGTGGTAGAAAGATGGCATATCTGCAAGAAAAAAAGACAAAACATGTACTATCAAAAAAAGTAATTATAAAAAATCTACTGGTTAATTATGGAAGTAATCTGTATTTACCACACAGTTAAGACTTAACATTTTTGAGTTTTGTAATCTCTTCTCATAACCTGTGAGGTAACCTGGTAACACCCTCCAACAGCAGGTTTGATTTATTTAAAAACAAAAGAAAAAAAAAACCAACCAAACACAAAAACCCCACGACAAACTGTGGTTCTGAAAAAAAAAAAACAACCAAACACAAAAACCCCACCACAAACTGTGGTTCCTCAGCCCAAAACAGGGATGTGTTTTAGAGGATTAGGCTATGTCTAAGACTGAAAATATTTCTGCTCTCCTACTCCCCACTCACATCATGTTGGCAATGGCAGGGGCTTTATTCAACAGGCATTAGTCTGAGGGACCTGATGCAGTATTTTAACTCTTTGGTCACACACAGTCTAGTTTTAAGAACTGAAATCAGAAGTGACTGTATTTGGTTGATTTCTTGTTATATTTAGGAATACAAAAGAGCATGAGTAACAAACAGAACTACACGGACAAGGGCAGTCTCCTCGTGGAGAGGTGCCCCAGGCAGCCTCAGGATTCCATGTATGGCAGGGCTGGCATCCACACAGAAGTAACAGCAGCAGCTCGTGCTTTTGATGCACTTCCCAATTCTACTACCCCAAGAAAATATTTAAGATCTTACCTTTGCTGTTCAGGTTCAATTTCAAAAAGACGCATTTCTCGCCTCTGCTTGGCAGTAAAGCCTTTTGTTTTCTTCCTCTTTTGCTTTGTCTTTTTTTTGGAATAATGCTCAAGAACGACAGCTTTCCGAGTTAACATATCCTGGATAGCTTCATCTTTCATTTTTGGCATACTGCGCTTCAGGAAGGCATTTACAAATGCTTTGGCTTCTTCTGATCCCTGAGGCTAAAGACATTGTAAAAGATGCTTTACAATATTATGTCTTAATTCAACTAAGAACAGTTTTATCAAGCTGACAGCATCGCCCTGGGCATTGGAAATGTACCCCTCGGTAACAGGGAGCGGGAGGCGTTCCCGTGCCGAAGCCCTGAGCATGCGGGGCAGGCGGCTTCTCCTCTTGAGCAGATGGCGGGGTCTGCGTTTAGTTACCAGCGGCGAGTTCAAACGCTAGCGCCAAGCGGGGCGTAAGGCCCGGAGCAGTCCCGTCGCG